CAACGGGGGGGGGGGGGGGGGGGGTGGCGGCGGCTAACTCACCAGCTTTTTCTGCACTGCAAGCATGGAACGAGTTTACATCCACTGGAGGCTGAAATGAAGGGTTTTCCATTGCAAAATCAATTCTTTAAATGGCAAAGCGAATTATTCACATTTAAGTAACGTGGCACAGTACCAACACCAATGGCCTACCAAGCCTAAGTTTCCATCTTTGGTGAATACAAACTGTACGAATAAAAGACAGAGAAAAGGGGAAAGTAGATGAACTGTAGAAAATGATTCCATGTCCCATTTTTCTTCGGATGGAAAAGGATAGAAGGAGAAGTTCTTTACCTTTGCCCCTGATGAACTCTCTGAAAGTTTCTCAGCCGGCTGAGGTAAAATGTGATCGCCAAGACATGCTGCATCAGAGGGGTTCGAATCCAAATCTAAGTCATCATCAGCATTATTTTGCTGAGGCAGAAACTGTACATGTTCAGATCCTTCTTCCAGATGATGATTTTCTAACACAGGAGTATCTTCAACTTGAGACACGTCCAGGTCATGAAGATGCTCATCACCATGGGCACTAAAAGATAGCCCTACATCTATATAAGCGTCCTCCATAATCGAATCATCTAAATCAGAAAGGAAATCAATCTCGTCAGCTTCATCAGATGGGCAGCCAAAGGCATCTTCAGAGGACTCCAACCGTGCTTGTTTAATATGCAGTGCAACTTCAAGGATTGCTTGCTTGGTCAAAGCATCTGAATATGAGCCAATCTTCATGAATTTATGTATAACCAGTGCTTCCGATGCAGAAATAGAGAGTTCGACCGCATCACTGATATCAGCATCTTTAATGCATATCACATTGCATTTTTCTTCATGCCGACATCCTCTGTCCTTATAATTCGTGGCAGACTGCGGACCAGCATTCTCTGCTGTTGTTGGAATGGAAATTAGACGCGAATCATGCATCATACAACTGGCATTTTGGCCCTTCCTTTCTTCATACTGCCTCCCACTGTCACTGTTACTGGTAAAATCTCGTGGATCAGCATTCTCCATGGATATCGGGGCAGAAGTTAAGGATGGAATTACTCCACCGCCAACACTATCCATTTTCAATTGAATTGCCTCTCCCACGCCACCCGAAGTTTCAACTTGCTTCAAGGGCAGGGCTTTACTAGAATCCTGCAATCTTTCATTCCCGTATAACAGCTGGCTTTGGCTAAAATGCAGATCACTATCTGACGAAAGACGCAGACGAAGATGAAGCAACTGCATCGCAACAAAAATAAATAAATCACACCAGCTTCCACAAAAAATAATTTTATATTAAAAATATCAGAATCAAGAAAAGAAATTGACAAAAAAATCAAAGATTAATTAAAACTTATACAATCTCAAGGACTTACGTTGCCCGGCGATGGAGGGATGCTATACTGCGTATTATTATCTTCTCCGGATGACAGGAACAAATGAAAATTATTATAATAATAATTTCCACCTTGTTCTTCAATTGACAAAATCTCCACATCTTTTTCGTTATTAATCAAACCCTACGCATCATAACATAAAGCCTAAAATATTTTGATTAAATAAATAAAAAATAATATCAATAATGATTAATTGCTCACGTTGAATTCTTGATTAGCTTCGGCTTCTGGTGATGGTGATTCTGATTGAGAATGTTGGAGCCAAAGAGGAAGCCAAGCGCGATCCTGAAATTGATTGAATTTAAAGTTAGATAAAATGAGTGAAAATCAATTGAATCGGAAGGTTTTTTTTGCTGATTGCTACCTCGGAGAATTGAGGAAGACGAAACCCTAAACTTGCCATGAAGAGATTACTGCGAGAGAGAGAGGATGGATTTTTCGCGCCAAAACCACACTGGTGCTTGGCTCGGCTCGCTGCTCGCTATGGGTTTTGTTTTATTGATGGTGCGAAAGATTGTGAAATTATGATCCGGTGGTATGGATAAAACTGTCTCTTTCCATTTTTATAAAAATAACTTTTAAAATTTTGGTGACCTTTATTTTTATTTTTGCATTTTCAGACAGAAACTAAACGGTGTAAAATGATAGGGCTATTTGAGAACACACAGCATTATAATCATGCTAAGTCTCCTAATGTTAGATTTGATTTGAAAACTATTTTGTATTATTAGATTATTGAACCAATATGCGACCATAAATCAATTATTTAAAAAAATAAAAATATATTAGTCATTGAAGTTTAACATGTATCTCATCATATTAACTAAATTATTAAAAATTTATATAAATCAAATAAATTAAATTAAATTAATATATTATTCAGTTTACCTAAAAACTTGATTTATCTTAAGTTATATATCCTATAATTTTCAGGTTAATACATTTTCTTTTTCTACCAATACGTTTGATGATTTGCTTCCCCTTTGTGATTTAAGGTCGCGTAAAACGACGACGACTCCACTTTTTGCAGTCTTCTCTAACTGAAACCTGATAGGGCAACGATGTAATGGGCCAAGGTTTTCACTCTTAACATGGACTTGTTATCTGGGCCTTTGATACTGGGTTTTGGCTCTGAGCAGCAGAGTGTCATATTTTCGGCCTTTTTAGGTTTTTTTTATTGTTTCTGTATGCCTCTCTTCCGTTAGTCGTTATATATATATATATATATATATATATATATAGATGTGTGTGTGTAATTTGAAAGATATAATGAATATATAAAATAAATTTATCAAGTAATTTTAAATTATTTTTTTGTATTCTCTGAATAAACATGAAATACAGAGAAATATGTTTTTTTTTCCTATCTAAACTGCCTGTATTTTTTTTATCTAGAGAAAGTAGCCAATTAATATTTATTAGTAATGTTTGTTTTAATAAATTTATTTCTCAACACGTTGTAATTATGATCAATTCTGATTCAAGGAACGTGCTGGAATGTTTTATAGTAGCATGGGCAACATAGTTTGATAAAGAAGTTTGTTTTTTATTTTTTATTTTTCGTTTCTAGGCTGAGAAGAGCTTTTAAAGTTACTTGATAAAAATTAAATTGATGTTTTTTAATGTATTTTAATGATTTTTATATGTTGATAAATAAAAAATATAAAAAATATTATTTTAATATATTTTTAAATAAAATACACAATAAAAAAAATACTCTGTAGTATATCATCAACTTATAGAAACTCAGTTTCATTGCGTTTTAAAGCACGACACTCGTAAAGCGTCCATCATCATCTTCACGGAGATACTTCCAGCTCAAATTTTAAATTTTTATATAAAATTAAATTCACTCCGCTCGTCAAATTATTAATAAATTATATCAGAAGTGTGAGATGTGTGAGATTTTTACTTCTTGTACCGACATCACATTCTAGAAATCAAGTTACCTGTCTTAGACTGTTTAGATGAGGTTGGCAGCACGAACAGCTTTTTTTTTAAAAAAATAGCACGATAATATAATTTTAAAAAATAATGAAACAATATAATTTAATACATGTTATAATTAGAAAACAGAACATTTCAAAAACAAAAAATCCATGTTGAAAAACATGATATTTAAAAAAATTAAATAAACGAACACAAATTATAAAAAAAAAAAGATGAGAAATAAAAATAAAAAAAAATGAACTTAAAAGTGTATCAAAACTTTGATTATAAATCCACTAATAACAACAATAAGATTTCAATTAGATTAGATAAATACAAAGATAACAAGTAAATTTATCGACAATAATTATAATAAGTCATATATATTGTCCAAAAAAATGGTATCTCACATGTATCTAAATAATGCATTTGTTTTTATTGTTATCAATAATATTTTTTGATGTTGCCAGGTTATTTTTTTGATATTATTGAATTTATTTCATTAAAATTATTTTAAAGGTATTATACTTAAAGTTTTGGTGTATTTCAAAAATCTTTTTTTTTTATTTTTATTTTTTTTTATTTTTCTCATTATAGTAATTAATTATTTATCTTTAATGTGATACACGTGATCTACTCTAGTTATCATTTATGATATTTTTTAATGTCGTTGGATTTATCTTATTAAAATCTTTTTAATAGTATTAATTATATCATTATCAAAGTTTTGTTATATTTTCAATGTTTTTTTTGTTGTTTTTTTATTTTTTATTGTAATTGCTTATTTACATTTAAATAATTTATTACTCATTTTAGTTATTATTAATAACTTTTATTAGTGTTATTAAATTACTTCATTGAATTTTTTTAATAATACTAATAATGTTGTAATTGAAATTTCAGCCTTTAGAATTTTTTAATTTTTGCTTCTTCTAGGTTATAATTGGTGTCGGTACAATTAATAAGCAAATATTTTTTGTCAAAATGATATTAATATACGAAATACCCGGATAATCTTTCTTTTTTCAAAAAATGCAGCTGCGATGTGCTGTCGTCTCTCATCAATTCATCATTACTCTCATTCTCGCTAAAACCGCACACGTCAGCTCCCTCTGAACTAATGATCCGAAGATTCTTTTGTCCGCGACCTTTTCAAACTCCCCGGGACTCGGCATAATCCAACGGCTTAAATTCAATGTTCCCTTAAAAAACATCTTCATTTGCATCTTAAACCAATTAGCCATCCTCCCTCACTCTCATCCTCCGATTCTCCCGCAATTTTGTGCAACCGCACGGTACTGATTCGTAACTGAAATATCAGAGTACAAGGCACTTTCTTCCTCCTTACCTCTGGCTATCTCTGCTGAGGTAGGTGTAGCACAAGCCTCTTTCTTTTCCTTTCTCTCCGGTTCTCACAGTTCGCAAGCATCAAGAAGAAAGAAAACGAAAAGAAAATAATCGATTAAAAGGTGAATTTTGTTTTAATTGATTTCTTTTTTCTTTTTGCTAAGCAATCATGACTCTTGTGTTTGTTTAATTGTTTGTTAGATTCATTTACTTAAAATAATTAATTATTTTGCTTGCTGTTTTGTTAGATTTGATCTGATTCGATTTGATCGCGCATTGTGTTATTTTTAATTATAATATGCCGTGGCAATGATTAAATCACTGAAAAGAGGATTAAGTTAATCAATTGATTGGTGATTAATGATTTTACAGATTGATTGAAACACTCATCTTTGTTAAAGATGAGATTAAAGAGAGCAATCTGTTGAAGCCAGGCAATTAAAGTTAATTTTGTTTAATTGTTTATTAGATTCATTATTTAAAATATTCAATTAGTTAGTTAGATGTTTTGTTTGGTTTGGTTTGATTTGATTCGATCTGATCATGCATGTTTTATTAGGATCATCCAATTTTGATTGTTGGTAATAGATTATTACCAGCCTTTTATTTTTTGTTTCTTAAATTCCTGAACAAGTTTTCTCGAATTCCGTGCGTCAGCGATTGCTTGTGTGAACGGAAGTCTGGCTGGAATGCTTGTCCTTTTTTGTTGTTTTTCTGTCTATAATGTTCTATACATCATATGTCTGTATGGGTTGATTTGATTTGATGAAAATGTGTCTTAAAAAAGGAAGTTAATTGGTTTCTCTGCTGCTTTCAGATTCGGTTTTATATTAAGAAATTTGGTTTCCTGGGTGGAACTTTTTGGTGGATTTGTTGTAATGGGTGCCGTAGAAAATCCAGTGGATAATAAAGAATATCGGATACCAGGAGAGGCGAAGGAGATTTTGAAATCATTGGCCTCCAAGTGGGAAGATGTGGCTGATGCAAGTTCGTTGCAAGTGATCCCTTTAAAGGGTGCAATGACCAATGAGGTTTTCCAAATAAAGTGGCCGACGAAGACAGAGAATGTGTCACATAAGGTTTTAGTTAGGATCTACGGTGAAGGTGTGGAGGTGTTCTTTGATCGAGAAAATGAGATTCATACATTTGAGTTCATTTCAAAGCAAGGGCAGGGACCTCGTTTACTAGGGCGGTTCTCAAATGGACGGATTGAAGAGTTCATCCATGCACGGGTACTTTGATGTTCACCTTTTCCTGTATTACTGAATATTGAAATGCAAATTGTCTTGAAGAGTTCTCTTGATTTAAGAGAATGGTAGTTGAGGTATTTAAATGATCAGTCTTAAAGGAATATAATACGACATTTTTTTTGGATAGCTTATACAGCTCCAATATGTACTTTTAATATCCCAAACATTTGGAAAATGGGGTTTGTTAGTTTCAACAGCTCAAATACCAACAGGTTAAATTAACTATTGAAATTGTGTATCTTTTCCTGGGATAAACAGAAGTAAAATGTGTTGGTTGATAAAAAAATAGTTTGAATTTCCTTTCTAGTTTCCTTATATCAGAAGTTAATATGTTCAATTACAACTTTCCCCTTCCTGAACCAAACATTTCTTGCATTTTCAAATACGAGTTTCAGACACTGTCGGCCTCTGATCTGCGTGATCCTGATATGTCTGCTCTCATAGCAGCTAAAATGAAGGAGTTTCATGGTCTTGAGATGCCAGGTCCGAAGAATATCTCCCTGTGGGATAGATTGCGGTATGCTTTCTTTTCTTTTCTCTTTCCTTTTTCTTTATAAAGGAAAATGAAGGTTGCACATGTCACCCTCTCTCTATATTCTTTGCTTTTAGTATAGCTGCTGTTATTTATTTTCTTTGTTGCTTCTACAGAAATTGGCTTAAAACAGCAAAGCGTTTGTGTACTCCAGAAGAAGCTAAACCCTTTCGCCTGGATTCTATTGAGGAGGAGATTTCCTTATTGGAAAAGGAACTATCAGGAGATCGGTCTATAGGGTTTTGCCACAATGATTTACAATATGGCAACATCATGATTGATGAAAAGACAAGAGTGATAACTATAATTGTAAGTTCTCTTTTTATTTGCTAGTTAAAGCGTTTTATGAATATGTTACCTGTTGGCATTCTATGCTATATTCTACATAAAATCCAATAACATGTTTTGGTCATTCTTACTTTTGCTTTTTTTCTCTAGATTTCTGGTTTTGATGTGTATCCTTCCTATC